GTGGAGCCAAGTTCTGTGACTTTTGCAAAGACAAAGTTGACTTAGACTTTGGTTTCTCAAACCTCAACACTGAAGTAAACTACTACTTCAATGCTGCTGGAACTGCTTGGGACCCAGTTAAGTTCACATGCGAAAAGTTTGAATGCAAGAGAATAGAAAGCAGACTTGCAGTCTATATGTTGGACCCAGATATTTCAAATGCTTTAGCTGCCAAATATATTGCAGTTCCACTTATGTTCCCTATACACCAAATATCTGTCAAAGACTTTGCAGGTGAAGTTGGAAACCAAAGTGCTGACCCAGGTGCAAGAACAGATATTGCTTTAACAACTGCAATGAAACATGCAGATACTATGTTTGTACTGTTCAGACGAACTATAAATGACTATTCTTGCTTCTACAACCCTGGTATTAAATACCATATAAACATAGATGGCAAATTTATCCAAGAGAAGAATATTCTACAGTTGAGGATATGAGGTCATACAACTTGACATTAGATGCTATGAACTTTAACAACAACTTCACAACAACCATATAACCCTGAAATGCAAAGTTCTATTATGCCATATGTGAAAGTATGGACTCATACAGGAGGTCAAAAACTCAATATACAAATGGAGACCGTTCAAACTTTTGGCTTGGCATTCCATTTGCTGCTCAGAAGACTTTATGGGTGGTATTTCAACTGTTGGTACAGTTCAAATACAATATACTGGTGACAGAGACGGTCCAGATGAACTGAGAGCAAAGAAGTTTACAAAACCAATAGCACTTTTCACGGAAGATGCTCTTTTGAAGATTCGTTCGATGAAACCTGCTGGGCTCCTCAGATTGGCATAACGACAGCTTCCATCGAGCAGATTTTGGCAGCAGGTCAGTAAGTTGTTCTTGAACTGACTTCTCTCCGTCAAATATTGACAGTACGCCAGTTTTGACATAGTATTGTATTAAAAACTTACCTTTAGAAATATCGGTCAGTTTTGTTGTTATATTTTTGTCTGCTTCAAGAACTTTCACCATCTCGGTTATACCAACTTTCTTTGCTTTATGAAAATTTTGGTTCAGCAAAGACTGCTATTCTATAACATTTTCCATTGTTTGTGTAAAGAACTATTCTGTCAATGAACTTGTATTGTTTGTGTGTGTAAACTTTGTTCTGCTTTCAATTCGAAGAGATACTCGAATACGTCCATCTTTTTTTCTAAGTAAAATGTCATTTCCGAAAAATAGAAGCGTGAGTGTTTCAAAAGGTTTAATGGCGGTGGCAGATGTGAAGTTAAATTCACCAACTCAAACAAACAGTCAAAGTGTTGTTGTCAATGTCAAAGAAAGAGATGTTGAAGTGGGAAACCATACGAAGACGAAGATGGTATAAAATAGTTCCTGTAAAAGAACAACCAACATATCCTGAAGTTAGCAGAGACTTAAGTTCTGTTGCAGATATTGAAACGACTACCAACAACTTAAAGACAAACTTAAAACTCAGGAGAAGATTTGTCAAGCTTTAGGTATAATGTTAAACTTGGTCGAACACAACCCTGTAAAAGTGAACTCATATGTCATCGCACCTCATGAAATTTTGAAAGAACTATTGAAACTTTTGACAGAGGCAGACGATATAAACATCAAAGAAATAGAACCCGACGTTAGTTGCTGTGGTGTTTCATATAATGTCATTGACAAGATATACGTTATGAAAGGAGGTGAAACGTTGAACTTAAAATATAGTTTCCCAGACGTCATAAAAATATTTGACGACCACAACATTTCATTAAAATTTACTTGCTAAGTAAATGGCAGAAGACATAGTGGTTTATACTATTACGACTAAAAACCCTGAGTCATATAATTCTATAACAACAAACTTACAAAGTCCTCAAGGACGATATTGTAAACTAACTTTAAACACGATGACGACTAAAGCCTGTTTTGCTCTTTTGACACCAGAAGACTTTGTTGTTGTGAATGGTAAAAAATACTCCTTTGAAGATACTTACTCAGATATACCACCAACAGGTTTTGTTGACTTATTTAATACTTTAAGGACGGATGTAACATGTGCTGCAACTAGAGCAGGTTTCATTATGTTTGGATGTCCGACTGAGTTTACTATAAACGATATGAGCTATAATACAAAACTTATATCTGGTTTTTACTACCAACAGTTTCCTATAACAGGAAAAGGTGTCATACAAGGTTTGTCTGTTCCATTGACTTTAAGTACACCTATTTTATATATTGTTTCAAACTTAGGTTCAAAGTGTTATTCGAATGTCGACAGAAACTACTATGACCAAAAGATACTCATGCGTATAAACAACACTTTCTCTGCTGGTTTGCCTATTGTTCATTCGAATGCAGAGTTTTCAGCTTTAGTAAACTCAAACACTTTAGCAAACATAAACTTAACCTTAGTTGACGCAAACTTTGTTCCTGTAAAACTTTTATGTCCTATGTATTTTGTCAATGACGGCAGAAAGTTTCGAATTGGAAGATGCAACTGGTGAAAGTATTGTACTACAAGAACAACTTCAACAACAAATAGCTCAAGAACAAAAAATGCAACAAATGGAACAACAAAGTCAAGAATAAAAAAATAATATTTTTTTTATTTTTTAAAAATGTACAGAATAGATGTTTCAGATTTTTATGACTTCCAAGCATTCAGAAATATGTGTCCATTTAGAGACTATAACAAAGCAGTCGAGAATTTGAAACGTTTAGTCATTTATGTTGACTCTGCCCCAGAATGTTATGTCATGAAAGAATGGGATGTTGTCTTTAACAAACCAAGAGCAACCATAGTTTCAGAACAAGAATGTAGACAGAAACTTAAGAAAATAAAAGTCGTACAAGTTGGTATGAAGATGTTAGATGCTTGGGATATCTTATTGTCAAAGTTAGAAGATTTTTCAGTTCGAGGTATAAAGTTTTATACACCTTCTCCAAACTTCTATTCTATCTTCACTGGATATAAATACGAACAAGTAGAATGGAAAGAAAATATTATAGAAGCTTGGTTAGACCATGTCAAAGAAATTATATGCAATGGAAACGAAAGAGTCTATGAGTATATCTTATGTTGGTTTGCAAACATCTTACAACATCCAAGTGCTAAAAATGAAACTGCTCTCATCATAATTGGAAAACAAGGAACTGGTAAGAACACTTTCTTTACAGATATCTTATGCAAACTGTTAGAGGGCTATTCGAACCCTAATATGACAAACTTAGAAAACATCTGCGGTAAATTTAACTCTTCAATAGAGAATATGAAACTTATAGTATGTAACGAACTTCAAAGTATAGATACAACAAAAAGTTTTGAACTCGGATGCTTTGAAGAGTCTTATAACAGATAAAGTTGGAGTTGTTGAAAGAAAATATAAAGACCAAAGAGTTTGTGAAAATGTTGCAAATTTCATTATGGTTTCAAACAACGCCGTTCCGATGAAGTTAGAAAGTTCTGACAGAAGATATGTAGTTGTCAGAACGTCAGATTCTCATATGCAAGATACAGAATATTTTACGACTTAGCAGAAACTTTGACATCTGACTTTTACAACCACTTGTTCTCATATTTTATGACATTAGATATTTCTAAGTTCAATCCAAGACAAATTCCACATACCGAAGAAAGACAAACATTGTTAGAAGCAAACAAGAGTGTATATGAACTGTTCATAGATGAGACTAACTTTGAGTGTTTAGATGAAAGGTCATTGTACGATTCGTATAAACAATATTGTCAAGAGTATGGTTATATGGCAGCGTCTAAACGAACATTCTTGGCAAATGTCAAAAGTCTTTTAGATGTTCAGAATGGTGTATATACAAAGAAAAATTTTTCTGAGTAAATTTAAAAAAAATATTTTTTTATCCGATAGAAAAGATGACGAAATATATTTCAGTAAATAAGTACATGACAGAAGTCAAAGATAAGTTAGCTCCATTCGCATATTTGAATGTTTACTTCTACCATTTTGAAAAGTCTACATTTGACAAAGTTTGGAACATTGCACCAGTTAAGTTTGCTATTGTGACTAAAAATGGTGCGAAATTTGAAGACTTAGACATAGAAGGTTTGTTAGCAGTCAAAGAAAATTTTGACAGAAAGTTCTCAAACCTTAAAGAAGGCAAAGCATACAAACTTGTTATACCTTATGAACCAAAGAAAGCAGACGACTATGAATATTATGAGTCTAAGATAGTTGAAGTTCAAGGTAAATTGGGTAAAAAGATTTTAGAGTCTAAGCCAGTGTTTGCTCCTAAAGAGGAAGAGAACATTGACATTGACCCAGAAATGTTCTAAAAATAAAATTTTATTTTTACATGTCATATCTCACCTTCTCTGGAACTGGTTCAGGTTCTTTCTTCTCTTCTACTTTCTTTTCTTTCTTTTCTCTCTTCTTCTTCTTTTCTGGTGGAGTTATGTCAAATTTCTCAGAACCATATTTATGTAAAAGTTCTTTGTCCTTTAATAGCTCTTCTATTCTGTTTTCTATTTCATCTTCAAGAACAGCGCATGTGTCTTCTTTGCATTCTAAGAACTTTTGTTGGACTTCATCTTTCCAATCGGCGTCATCTCTGTCAACAAGTCTGTCATTGACAAATTTTAAGACTGCTCTTTGTAATGTTTTATGGTTCTTGTCATATTCCCAGAAACAGAACTTTAGAACAAATTCACCTTTCTTGTTTACACTATGTAAGATTTTATGGTCGACAGATGTTTTAGAGTCAAAAAGCTTGTCTCGAATATAGATAGCGAAATCGCTCGACATTTTCTAAAAGATAAAAATTTTAATTTTTCTAAAAATATGTTAGAAAAAAAGTTTGCTGACATTGACAAGAAATTTGAGAATGTTTTAAATAAGAACAAGAGGAAGTTAGAAAATGCTCAGATAAAACCCATACATGACAAGTTCTTATTTGCTCAGAATGGTATAACAGGTCTAATCGCACCACCTGGGTCGGGTAAGACTTTCACTTATCTTAAAATGGCTGCACAACAACAAGAACTAGATGAGAAGAACCCATTCTATGAGTTAGTAGTCATTTGTAGTACTTCTGGTCAATTTGACCAAACCGTCAATTCGTTCAAAGATATTATAAAAAAGTCTAAGTTAGTATGTATAAAAGATACTGAGTTGTTAGATTGGATAAAGAAGTACCAAAGAAGAGTTTTGAAGTACAATGCTATAAATGAGTATATAAACTCGAAGTTTAAAGACCCAAATGAGGAAATGCAGAGAATATTAGAGAAGAAACACTTCAGAAACAAACAGAAAGAGATAGAATACATTTCGAAGAAATTGCAATCGTACGATTGGAAGACTTACCCTCACAGATGTCTTCTTATCTTAGATGACTTTGCTTCTCATCCTTTGTTAAAGAACAGAGAACAAGATATGTGTCGAATTCTTAAAAAGCTCAGACACTTTAACATCTCAGTTGTCATTTGTGTACAGACAGCCAAGAGTTTAAGTAAGGATGTTAAAAGAATACTTACTGATATCATACTTTTCCCTGGATTGTCCGAAGACGATTTCATGGAACTTATGAAAGAGTCCATGGCAGGTAAGTTTGACAGACATGAACTATGGGAGAAGTACAAAGTCATACAAGACCCTCATACTTCTTTCAGAATTCACATCTACGCAAACAAAGTTCAAATTGTAAAAAGTCAAGCTTGAAAAATAAAGAGTTTTAGGCGACCAGGATTTCTGACCTACTCGCTGTTCTTCACGATTTTCCGAGGGAAGCAAGCATATGAGGAAATTCATGAAATTTTACTCAGAATTCAATAAAAATATATTTTAGGGTAGAAGGGTATATCTACCCCGTTTTCTACCCTCATTTCTACCCCAGTTATTTTATAAGCGTTTTACATGGTAAACATTGTGAATTCGTGAAATTCTAAACAATTTCGTAGCTTCTATTTCTTCACGAAGGATATCGAATGTTTTCACAATGCCGAAAGTTTCTTTATATTTCTTCTTGACATCTGAAAGAAGGAAATCGTCAGCTGTTGGATAGTTTTTGTTTAGAAATGTCAACATGTCCATTTTATCTTCTGCTGGTTTCTCTGCCTCCCTCTTTAAGTCAGCATAGTCGTTTCGCATACGTTCTATCTCTTTGACGGAGTAGTTATATTTCCTCATTGCTGCTTTACATTTAGAACATTGTGGGTTCATTTTTGCGTTATATTCTGAAACCTTACCTGCTAGTATGACTAAGGCGTCAATTGCTCTCTTTAACTCAAAAGTTGCGGGTTTTATCTGTTCATTCCATATCTTACCTCTTCTATCTTTATCTCTTATCTGCCATACACATTTTGCAACTAACGAAACAAAGTTGTCGTAGGTCTTAAACTCCCCAGATTTGTATATGTCAGAGATGTTCTTATATACCATATCGCAATCTTTGTCCATGACTTTGTGGTTGCAATGAAATCCAAGAAACTCATAGTTAACCTTTCGTATGAACTTCTTTATTTCTACTGAGTCAGTTGCTTTGACTTCTATTTCATCGAATTCTGGAATAGTAAGCTTTTGTTGCTGGATTTCAGGCAATTTGGGTAAATGGTCGATGAGGTCCTGCATGTCATAAAGATACTGTTCATTTGTTTCATCTTTCGCACAACAGTCCAAAGTACTTGTTAAAAGTTCTTGCTTTATCTTCTGGATTTTTGTTTCGAAAGTATATGAAGAAGGAATGAAGCTTTTCATCTCTACTAACATTGAAGTTGGGTTCATGACTAACGAGTTTGGTGCTGTTGTTGCTAACATGTTTCTTACAATAAAAATAAAAAAATATTTTTTTAAAAAAACCAACTTTATTTTTTATTTCGGGAAAACTCATGACAAATTCAAGAGGGTAGAAAAGAGGTTAGAAAAGAGGTTATATCTAACCTTCTACCCTAAAATATATTTTTGCCGAATTCATGAGTTTTGGTTGAAAGAATACGGTGGAGCCAAAAGTGGCTCGACCTCAAAACAAGCATTTTCTGTATAAAATTCATGAAAATTCAAGAGGGTAGAAAAGAGGTTAGAAAGAGGTTAGATATACCCATCTACCCTAAATTATATTTTTGCTGAATTCAGCAACAAAATTCAAATTGTAAACGGTTTAATAGAAAAAGTGTTATTTTTTCATGTCCGAAGACTCGAAGGTGCAACACTTCCAAAATACGACGAACTCAGAAGAGCAGCATGGCAGTATGTTCTTGACAACTTCTTTGAGTTCTCCAGGAACACCTTGGAAAATGCTGAAGAACTCCGACACAGAGAATTTGGAGAAATTGCACTCCAATACTACCTTGACAAACAAAGGGTAAACAAAGGGTAAACAAAGGGTAAAATAAGACTAAAAACTTAACGTTTAAAAAGTGACATTTTTATGAGCTCCGAGTCACCGAGAAAACTTGGTCAGATGTTAGCAGCTTACTTCCCTGAGGAGGATGGAAGCGTTACATACGTAAGGTTCAAAAACAACGAACCTGGAATTGCGTACCAAATTCGCAATTACATGACCATGGAAGAGTACGAAAGGTTCCTACAAGAGAAACCAGCTCTAAACAACTCAGAAAAGAAAGAGTAAAAAGTTTAACTCGTAATTGTTTATTTTTTTACTTGTATGGGCAAGCTGCAAGAATGAAGTCGACTATCTCGGTCTTTGTCTTGACCAGTTGGACTGCTCTTGCGAGTACGTCTGTTTTACGGTCTCCAGCTGGTGTCTGACCTTCGTAATTGCGCATGTTCTTGAGAGCTCCAACTGTAAATGGTTGTAGGATGAAGAGTCTCTCAGACTGCTTGAGGTAGTCTTCACGGTCACGAACCGAATCTGTGGTACGAGTCGAATCGGTCGATTTGAGGGAAGAGACTGAAAGCCTGTCGTCTTCCATAGGGGCTGTGGCATAATCTTTGCGTAAACGGTTCAGACCTTCTTCGAACTCTTGGTCTCTCTTCGATTGAGATTGGAATTGGAATTGCTGGGGTGGAGCTTGCTGGAACATCCAAGGGTTGGGGAAGTAAGGCATAGGCAGAGGAGGGTAGTTCGGGAAGCCTTGTGGTGGGTAGTAACCTTGAGGTGGAAATTGGTAGTAAATCGGAGGTACTTGCTGGAACTGAGGTTGCTGAGGAGACTGTTGTGGTTCTTTAGGTTCCTCTGGTTTGGGAATGGACTCGGTTGGTGGGACGTCGGACATTCGTTTGTGGCTTAACCGTCGGACCACAACGATAAAAATCTCTGCAACTAGCAGTACTGCTACTGTCAGTAGCAGTACTTTTACTGACAGTAGCAGTACTTTTTCTGACAGTAGCAGTACTTTTACTGACAGTAGCAGTACTTTTTCTGACAGTAGCAGTACTTTTACTGACAGTAGCAGTACTTTTACTGACAGTAGCAGTACTTTTACTGACAGTAGCAGTACTTTATCGTCGAAAACCCTCTCAAATTTTCCTTTTTACTGCAACTAGCAGTACTTTTACTGTCAGTAGCAGTACTTTTACTGACAGTAGCAGTACTTTTACTGACAGTAGCAGTACTTTTTCTGACAGTAGCAGTACTTTTTCTGACAGTAGCAGTACTTTTACTGACAGTAGCAATGGTCGAGGTCGAACCTACCGACGAGGCAATTTACCTAATTGAAATTAACGAGCTTGTTAAAGACTTCCTCAGGCAGAATGTAAAAGGCAAGCTTGTTAGCGGTTGGATAACGGGAAGGGCTGCCTTGAATCTCGAGACTTCGACTGGAATTCCAATTCAAATACCAGACGGGACAGCCTACGACGACATAAAGCAAGCAAAGAAGGAAGCTCTTCTCAAGTTCTTTGCAAAGCGTCCTTGGATACTACTTCCAAACAGAGAGAACCCTTTCCCAAGAATGAGCCAAATTCTCAAGGGTCTCCTTCACTTCTCGGGTCAGCCGTTCTACATAACCTGTGAAGGCGACATCCAACCAGTTCAGTAAACCTTAACGTTTAGAGTAAAAACATTTTTTTCATTTTTTGAATGAAGCAAGTTAAATTCGTCCCACACCAATCTCAATGGACCGATGAAGAGTTTCAAGCCATGGTTGAAGGTGTTGAGAACGACATAGACGGCGAACTTGAAGGAGCTCAAACCACAATTGCAACCAAAATTGCACAAGTCAAAGAAGAGATAGCTCCACTTAAAGCTACCAAAGCTACTCTTGACCTCATGGATAGTTACCGTTTAGATGTCAAGAGTGGAATAAGACAATTAAAATTAAAACTCTTAAATTACGAAGCTATACTCCAGAAGTTAGCAGAAATGAGAAGACTTTACCAGAGCTACTTACATGTAAGGGACTTACCTTCAAGCAGTCCGACCAAAGATGAATTTTCTGACATTGTCCCAATTTTGTCCGAAAGTCAGCTCAGATGTTTTGAACTGCTCCAACATATCCAGAATATGAACGTTTGCCTGAACTCTTCCGCAATCTCAAAAAACGTTTTTTGGTTCTCATGTTCGAAACTTTTATCGGAAGAGACAACAAACGTTCAGAAGAAGAACAAGATATTATTTTAAACTTGTTGTATGACATAACTGTCATAACAAGCTTTTTGAAGTAAAACCGTCATTCTCAAACCACTTCATTTTTTCGATGTCCGAACAAGCACCGAAGCCGAACACAATGGCAGATGTCCTTTCAATGTTGCCAGACAAGCGCCCAGTTCAAATTCAAATTTTGAATTTGAAAGCTCATCTGACAAACACCGTTAAGACTCTCCAAAGTAGTCTTATGGAAGAGATGAAGGGACTTAAAGGTGAGTTCCTCATGAACCAAGCTTCCAATGAGAAAGTCCTGAATGATTTGACGGAAACCTTGCGCATTTACGCGAGAGAGAACCGAGACCTTGCCAGACTCATCTACCGTTTCTTCGAAGAGATAGATGCCATCTGGAAGGTACTCGGAAAGGACAGAACATGCAACACCGTAATTCGTGAGCACCAAATTGAAGAAGGAATTTTCGAGGAAGAAGAGGAAGAAGAGGAAGAAGAGGAAGAAGAGAAACACGAAGAAGAGGAAGTTTGGGCAACCCTTGTTGCCGATGACAGTTATGAAATTTCCCAACCCTACCCATACAAAATCCGCAACAAGGAGACAGGCAAGGTTCTTACCCCAGTCCTCAACAACTTGGGACACTTGACCCTTACCCTTCGAAATTACGGTACAATTTCCATGGGAAGGCTTGTCGGTATGCAATGGGTTCCAAATCCAACAAGAAGACGAAGGTCAGACACATTGACGGTGACAAGCTCAACAACCGTAAGGAGAACCTCGAGTGGTTCTAAGAGTAAAAAAATTTTATTTTAGGGGAAACCCGAGTAAATTTAGGTGTTTATTTAGTTAAGTAGCTTAAATTAATGAGAATTTGGACAAGTAGTTCCTGACCCCTGAATTGGACTCTTTCGTCATCCCAGTTGCCTAGGAGGTCGTCCCAGAGGAGTTGGTAGAATTGCCAATCCAAGGACGATTTGTCCTCCCAGGCATTGAGGATGTACTGCTCGTAGAGTTTCATGACCTCTGCCTTGCACCAGACACCCTCTCCCTTGGAACGTAAGGCTTCTTCGAAGTGCTCGAATGCGATTGGCTGCTTGACCATCTGAAATGACACTTTTTGTCCGTTTGGTCAATGTTTGTCTCGTGCCATAGTCGACGAAAATACAGACAAACAGGTTATATATGAGTTTGAGACCAAGAATGGTGTAACTCGACCTGTCCGATTCAAATTCGAATAAAAATTTTTTATTTCATGCAATGTTTAACTATTTCACCATCTTCTTTAACACCCAGTACTTCCTTTCGATATTACATGAACTTCGGTGAAAATTTTGTCCAATTTGAATTGACCCATCTTTTCACCGACCATGCCCATTTCAATGAGTTTGTTATAAGCCTTCTTCGTTCGTCATGAGTGCATCGATGTTCTCATAGTAAACCTTCACTTTGGATTTGACTTCCGAGAAGAATTTGTTGTAGTTGTCAAGGACTGCCTTTGCGAACTGAGGTAAGACCAATGTTCGACAATAGGTTTTAATGTGGTTACTAAGCCACTTTGACCTTGAGTGAATTCGTACTTCAAAACAAAAGGAGAAAACCTTTCAACAAAGTTGTCGACCTTCTCATAATGTTTACTCTTCATCTCTTGAGGTTTCTTAATGGAATATCCCCATGTCGAATTCATAAGCAATTTGAGTGTCATTGCAAGTTGGGTTTGAAGCTTTCCTAATATCATACAGTTGTTGTATGACTTTTCCAACTGTATAGTTCCTTCCGAGAACTCACCATCTTCGTTTGGAATTCCAGTCGGGATATATTGGACGAACCTCATGTACGCAGCGTTAAGGTCGACATAGTATATCTTTTCATCTGAGTCGAACTTGTCGCATCCAATCGGACCAGTTCGTGGAAATTCAAGTGAGTCTCTTATCTTCTGAGAAACTTCTCCTGTTATCTCATAAACATCGTCGAAGCAACCTGTTTCATATAAAACCTTTGACCTAACTCAGATGCTCTCCAATACAATTTGACGTCGATTGGATGCCTCAATGGAAGTTTGTTTATAGCATCTTGAAGTTCTTGCAACCTCATTGGAAGTTCTTCTGTTCAGGTTGGTATCCGAACAATCCAACTCCTTTTGGAACTGTGTACTTCTTTGTACTAGAACTTTGTCTGGAACAACTTTTGGTCTTGCTAACAGTGAAAAGTTTGTTTCGTCTTTTGGTACAAACTTTCTGTCAGCTTGTCATCTGGAATTGGTTCCAACAAACCTTTCTCGAAAAGAATGTTTACAGCTCTGACAATGTTGCACTTGCCTTTTCCGAACAATGGGTTTGTAAGACTTTCGTTCAACATGAAGTGGTTGTGGACAATTACAATCTTCAACCATGGTAAGTCTTTGTCAACAACATAGTCGTCATGTGAAGAACCTTTCTCAGTCGGAATGTTGACTCGGATATTGACATTTGCCAACGGTGCAATTTTTGCCAATTGACCTCTGAGAATGTACCTTGTCTTCACGCATGACTCAAGATACTTCATCTTCTCATCTGTAACAAGACCAGAGTTCCTGAGACATGTAAGAATGCAAGGTTCATTGACAATTGTTTCAATTGAATTGTAAATTCCATACCTTGTCAAGTCAATGTCAGACTTATTTATGAACGGGAAGTATCCAGCATGTTGTCTGACTGCTTGAGGGTTCGGTTGGTACCATTCAAATTTTACACTTGCAATTCCTTCAATTGCATTCAAAATGTCTGAGTCGGAGTCAACCATTTGTTCTCTCTTTGTAGTCTTGAAAGCGTCAAGAAGCATTGCAGCTGTTGTGACATTGCCATGTGCATAGTAAATGTGACCATCCAAATCTGTTATGGTCAATCTGAGATTGTATCCTTTCTTATTTCCATCTTGAATTGCAGCAAGTACTCCCATGAAGCCTTCTTTGTTCTTTCCTTCGTCAAAGTTTACTGTAAAGGTTCGACCAGATGTAATTTGACTTCTAACTTCACGGTACTTTTCATATGCATATCTTGTTCTTTCCATGGGAGCATGTGCGTCTTCACCTTTTCCTTTTTTCCTTCTCAAAGGATGCAATTGTTCGTCATGTTTCCAGTAGAATCTGGCAAAGCCGTCGTGTCCTTCAACTTGAGGTTCACTAACATCGAAAGGCATGTCCATAAGACGTTCTTCTTCTAACCTCTCTAATCTGTTTGGATAGTTTGCGCGTGCTGTTTCCAAGTCCATTTCATAGCGAAGACCAGACAGTTTGTCATAGACTTTTATGGGTCTTCCCTTCCTATATTTAAACTTCTTCGAAACTTTCCAACCATATCTTTCTAACTCTGCTTTTATTCTAGCAGATTTTCTATCCATTCTATATGGGGGCATTTTTATAAAAATAAAAAAATGTTTTTTCTTTACTTTACGTAACCGCCTGCTGCCATAAGTCTTTGACGCCAACCCATACCAGCTAATGAAGGTTGACTTGGTTTAGTTTGGAAACTAAACTTTGTTTTTGGTTTATCTTCAGTTTTTGGTTTCTCTTCTTCTATCGGTTTTTCGTCACTTTTCGGTTCCTCTGACTTTACCTCACCTGCAGGAACAGTTGTGTCGTCAACATCTTCATAAATATCATATGCCATTTGTTTTTGTTTTCCTTTCAACTTTTTGTGTTTGTTGTAAAGTTTAGAATATTTCGACTCTAAGTCAATGAGATGTTCTATAATGAACTGTTGGTCAGTGAAGTAAACTTTTCCATCTGTTGTCTCGAAAGCTCCTTCAGACTTCAATATTTTATTTGTGAGAGTCTGTTTCTTTTTTGAGATACTAGCCGTTCCATTTCTATGAAAAGTGACTTTATAGTTAGGGTTTGTATTTCCAGACCTGGCACTTTCTATTATTGAATTTTTTTCTTCATCTGTAAGTTCTTTGACAGGTTTTGACAATGGTTCTGAACTTTTTGTTTGTGGTGTCAAATCTACCGTTTCAACTTCTTCGGTCATTTCATCTCAGTAAAAAATTTTAGTTTGGTTTGTTTTCAACTGGTTGTTTAGGTTTTTTAAGTCGGTCTAAAACTTCTTGAGGTATAGGAAGAACTTGACAAACACGTGGTTGTGTAACTGCTGGAAGCCGACAAATCCATCTTGAGCCCATTTGTCTCAATGCTGTATTGTTCATTTCATCTCAGTAAAAATTTTACATTCCCCAAGTTTGAGGCGGTTGAGGTTGGTTGTTGTTTACCCATTGTTGTGCATGGTTATATCCTCTGTTAAAGAATCTTTCACCTTGGTCCATATAGTGTCCTGCTTGGTTATAGTAGTCATTTGCTTTGTTATAATAGTTTCCTGCTTGTCTTCCTACATTGTCCATCCATCCTTGAACTTTTCCTCTTGTTTCAGGATTTGGAATAAGATTTGCTGCATCTCGTGCTACATCCAACCTTTCTGTACAGTTTGTATAATAGGTTGTGCTTTCTTCTTTAAGTATACCTAATGTACTCAAATCTTCCTTCCAACTCCAAATACACCTCTGGCTATTGTCCCACTGCGGGCAAAAATCTGGATGCAACTCCTGCTAATGCGCCAAATAAAACCCCATTTCTTATAGGGTAAAAAATGACGAATCCAAACAAGGACCCCTATGTTCTAAAGCGACAAAGAAAGCACTCATGGGTAAAATCTTTAGTTCAACACCAAATGCTTGGTTTATGGATATCTTGGAAAACATTCCGAGAGTTAGAACAGATGGACCACCATACTGGCTAATATTTGTCGGTCAAAACACAAGATACTGTGAAGCCATACCATTACAGTCCAAAAATATTTTAGATGTGAAAACTGCTTTGACAATATTCGTTGACAAATACCATCCAACAAAACTGACATCTGACTGTGAAAGTTCTTTCAAATCAGACGATATTAAAAACTATCTGCGTTCAAAAAATGTAAACCAATATTTCATTGTCGACCAAAACCATTCTGCTCTTGGTGTCATTGACAGTTGTATAAAAATCTTAAGAGACTTAAACCAACACAAGGTGGTGAAGCAAATGAAATGTCATATGACGACAAGTACAGACATTTCCCATGGCAAAGATGAGAACAAGTTTTAAATATTTACAATAGCCGTAAACAAAAAGGTTTGGGAAACCACTCCCCCGAAGAAATGAAAAACAACCCTGACTTAGAGAAAGACTATATATTTAATAGTTTAGTCAAAAGAGACAAACAAGAAAGAATGCCAGGCTTCAAACTTCAGAAAGGTGACAAAGTAAAAATAGAAATACCTAAACGCGACCCATATGAAAATACTATTGACTATGACAACAATGGGAACTCGACAGGTACTCGCATTCGTGTTCGTAAAAATAGAAGAAAGTATACAAGAGAATATTATGAAGTTTTAGGCAAACATGGCAAAATGTACAGACTGCAAGCAGAAGATAAAACTACTATTGTCAGACCTCGTTTCAAACTTGTTAAGGTTCAAGGTGGTATACTTTCAAAGACAGTTCCTAACAAATATAAGACAACTCCTGACGAATATGCTAAAGAAGTTGAAAATGACGACTAAGCATTTCTATAACCATGCGTAAACTGTCATGTAAGGTGGCATGTAGTCTTTACTCTGTCCGTTGTTTGCGTATAGCCTGAAACGCGATGTGTATGGCTTCCTCCTACCTCAGTGTTACTCCAGTAACAATTTATAGCAAACTTAACGTCCTCTTTAACATCATATCCTTTACCTTTTGTCATTCCTGACCAATCCCAAAATCTATGACTATGCAACCTGCTTCAGATGTACTTAAATTTATGTAGTGACTGTGCGCAGGTAAATTTGCACCTGAAATCGTTTTACTTCCGCCTGTTTCCTTTGAAGAGTTTGCACAATACAAAAACCTGTCGACTATTTGAGTCCAAGTTCCAAAACCAAGTACTACTTCTGGTTTGGTAGAGTTCATTGACGTGTAAATAGAACCTATAGGATATAGTGTTTGAAGTATTTCTGTCTTTAACGTTTGAAGCTCTGTTTTGTCAGCTTTCTTATCATATAAATCTTGAGCAGTGAATTTAACTTTTTTTTCATCCTCCATGACATAGACATTTCTACATCTAATGTATTTCATCGTTGTTATGTCATCCTCCGATGTTAAACCTTGTGGAAAGTTAGGAGGTTTCCAATTTAATACATCCCACCAGTTTCTTCAACCGTTCCTTCAATATTTTCTATACCAACAGTTGCGAAGAAATCGTGTGTATGTCCAACGTCACTTTTCCTGTTTAAGGTTTCTTGTAAGTTTGTAATATTTGCAATGGTATGTGTATGTCCAACGTCACTTTTACTGTTTAAGGTTTCTTGTAAGTTTGTAATATTTGCAATGGTATGTGTATGTCCAACGTCACTTTTACTGTTTAAGGTTTCTTGTAAGTTTGTAATATTTGCAATGGTATGTGTATGTCCAACGTCACTTTTCCTGTTTAAGGTTTCTTGTAAGTTTGTAATATTTGCAATGGTATGTGTATGTCCAACGTCACTTTTACTGTTTAAGGTTTCTTGTAAGTTTGTAATATTTGCAATGGTATGTGTATGTCCAACGTCACTTTTACTGTTTAAGGTTTCTTGTAAGTTTGTAATATTTGCAATGGTATGTGTATGTCCAACGTCACTTTTCCTGTTTAAGGTTTCTTGTAAGTTTGTAATATTTGCAATGGTATGTGTATGAGTCTTTTTAGAATATTCTTTGTCAGCTCTTGTCACTTCACTTGACATTTTATTGTCAACATATGTTTTGTGCTAGTTCAGGATGAGTATGTTCTTTTGTTGCATATGTTGCATCTGCTCTGTCATGTTCTTCTTGAACTTTTTCAATGACATACTCTTTGTCAGCTTTGTTGTCAACATCTGCTTTCGTTGCATATGTTGCATCTGCTCTGTCATGTTCTTCTTGAACTTTTTCAATGACATACTCTTTGTCAGCTTTGTTGCCAACATCTGCTTTCAAAAGAAGTTCATCTATAGGTTTCTCGTTTAAAGTTCCTTTTGTTGGATTTACACAGACAGTATGGTTCTTATTGTCTTGAAACAGAAACTCGTCTGTCATTGGGTTTAATGTCAGTTTTAAGTTTCCTTCTTTCAATGACTCAGATATCTTAGAATAGTTTGAAAAGTTTGTTGTGTTCTTATTTAGAGCTTGCAAAATGAGTTGTCGGTTGTGTTGTATTTCTCTCATAGACCTGTTTCTTTCGACATTTTTATTCTAGATAAAATATGCTTTCAATAGAAAAAGAAAATTCAAGAGTTGCTACAACTAAACCATTAGATGAACTTTTTACTAACGTCGGTCAAAAGTTTGAGACAGAGACCGTAAAGCATGAAGGCTATCGTTTTGACTACCCGTTAAGATGGCTAAGAGACCCATCCGTCACAAAAGCTATTGGCTTTCGTAGAATGAAGTTTGTGTCTGTAGAAGATAAAAGTTTTCCATTTATTGTAAGGTTTCATATAGATTATATATCTGAAGGGAAACGAAAAATGTGGGAAGAAATTGAGCTAATACAAGTTGACCTTTCATCTTCTCTACAGACTGCGTTAAAAAATATAGAAGATAAAATAAATTCATGTTATGCAAAATATGCTGATGAATATGCAAATACCGAGAGCACACTTTATGTGAGAATTGTATATGACAAACAAAATTCACAAGTGTCATTTCAAATCTACGAAGACAATCCAAAGAAAGACGAACAAATATATACAGAATTCACTGCAATGTCATGGTATTATTTGCAAAGAATGTTAAATCAGAAAGTCGAACTTCCTTTAGCAAATATTTACAGTCGATATGCAAGAGATGAACCATATTTATTTAAAGATGTTTTCGACCCAGCTGCTATTATTGTTCATGCTTCATTTTCTGGCGCCCAAAACTCTTTCTTATGCTTGGCAAATGACTTTTACGAAAAACCTACAAAGTTATACGAACCACCAAGTGGAAGTATTTCAGACTTTCAAGTATGGTTTACTACAGATGGAAGAAAAAGAATAATTCCATTATACCATGCGTTTTACTTAGAACTTAGTTTCATATACAACTACTATCGAACGATAAAAATATAATTTTTTAATACGGTTGAGGTGTTGGATTTGGTTGCCAACTAGACTGTGGTGCAGGTTCAGGCTGTTGTATAACAGGAGCTTGTTCTTCTGGTTCAGGGTCTTTAGGTATAATACCAACGAACTGACCTACTCTTTTACCAATATTTTTGACTCCGTTCCAAATTCCTCTTCTACGGTTTTTATTCCATTCCATATACCTCTTCCAACATTTCGAAAGAAGTTTCCTATTCTTCCAAAGAAACCCATTTTACTATATG